GAGGGTCTCCTCACTGGCCTTCTGAGTGGCCTCTTTATTTTCACCCATAGCTGCTTTTCCAGATGCTGGTTCTTCCTTGCTTTTCTCTTTGCTCTCATACATTTTACCTATCACTGAGGTAGGGGTAAAAGAGAGTGAAAGCATACTTGTGATGGATGCCACAGGGTCAGGGGGAGAGGAATTCCCTTGGTGCACTGGTGCTGGTGACTTGGTCACTTGCTGTTGCCAGTTTCTGAATCCATCTCGAGTTCTGTCCCTTTGTGGTTTGCCAAAACCAGGCTGGTAGAAGTTTGCCACTGGCACTGCAAGGTCAGGTGGTAGGGTCAGCCCCTCCAAAGCTGACTGCTGCTATTCTAGCTGGCTCATCTGGGTTGGGACAGAGCTCATGGGCTTGTGCATGCCTTGGAATGGATCTCCGAGAAGTTGCTGTGGTCCTGGCATGAAACCAATTGGCGATGGGATTCTAGGAAGAAGGTAGTCTGCTGGGGCTGCTCGTATCTGAAACACTTGTGACAAGGGAGGTGAGGGTGTTCTTTGGGCCAATAAAGATTTAGACTCCAAGTTCCCCATAAGGTCACTCAGAAGATTGGAAGATGGGAACAGGAAAGCAAGACAGTCAGGTTAGGCAACTCTACAGGAAGTTTGTTCTAACAGGCATTAGAGAAATGCAGTGGTGGCTAGAAAGTGAACCAGATTCAAAATAACTTTCTGGTTTTGCTTTGTGTTTTATTCAGTGGATAAACAGAGCCATGTTTGTGTGCTGATTAGGATAACGCAGAGGAAAGGGACAATTGATGCTTATGGAAATAGTGTTGAATTGTCTTCCTGAGCAGTGAGAGAATATGAGCGATAATGAACTAATGGATGGCTTCTTTTTTAGAGGCAGGAGGTGAAAAATGTGGGTACAAATGCTGGTAGGTAAGCAGGGAAGAACTTCAAGGGTTCTGCTCTGGTGTCATTTTATTTTCTTCTCGCAATAAAGTGGGAAGCAGAACTATCAGTTGAGAGAAAAGATAGGGAAGGAAGTGTTTAAAGTTTGAGAAGGGAAAATGAGAGAGGGAATAATCATTTTTGAAAGTAGAAAAGCAAATAGACCAGGAACTAACTAATGGTGTGATGATGAGTAGCCCCCGATTCCAAATCAGGTTTAAGGTCATAGATCTAAAGAAAGTCAGTCAGCCCTTATTCAAGCTACAGCTGTGTGTTGGCTCAGGCCTGGATTTCCAGGAGAGAGCAGGTATTAAGTAAGCCTGATATTTTGTCAAGTAAGAGGGACAATAAAGATGAAGCTATGTTCCTGGCCATGCTGATGGTGGTCAGTGATGGAATTCAGGCTGTGCAAGGAGAACAGTGAAAAGCTTAAGAGACATAAAGTGATATAAAATTGACTCTACAGTATTGAAGGGATTAAGCTAACCATATAGGAATTAATTGAGGTAGGGTTCTTGACATTGAGATTATGAAACTGTTGATATGGTTTAGGTTCTGACAATAAAAATGAGTCTCTGAAATTGGATAGGAGACTGGAAGGCAAGATCATTGTAAGAGATCATCATGGTACTGAAAGGCAAATTAAAGATACAGATTTTGTGTTAAAATCAACTGATTCTGACATAGGGCATCCAGATTATAATTCAAAGAATTCTCATTTGGGGGAGAGTTGGCTAGATAAATACAAAGGTTTGGTGTTAAACCAAAAACCATAAGGGGGATGGAACAAACAACAAATATTAACAATGCTGTATATTGGATGTGCTGGACTGCTGTCAGTTTGCATGCATCAACACAGGATGCTACAGTGGTTACTATCCTTACCTAACAAGTGATGAATGGAAGGGTCACAGAGGCTAAATAACATGTAAAAGGAACTCTCAGAATCTAAACTCGGAGCTCTTTGTCATTGTCCATGAACCTTGATGAGTACAGGGATTACAATAGAGCAAGTTATGTTAAAATCTGCACCCTGAGATGTGAATAATAGATTCATGGGATTAGAGACCCTTGAGAGCAATATTGTATACAAAGCCCAGTAATATGCCTTATCTCATTTAATCCTTACACTAATGCTGTGTATTAAACAATTTGCTAAGATCATGGGTCAGTGCATAAGATCAGTATATACCAGAACCTGGATCTAAAGTTTAATTCTCTGACCTCCTCCTTGTTTAGCTCTTTTCATTAATTTCACCATCATTTTTCAGAGATGGCTCAGACAGAAACTTGCAAAAAATCTAAACAGCTTAGAATAAATATACTAATAATGAAACCATACTTCTTTCTTTCTTTTTTAGAACCAAATGTCTCATAATTCCTATATTCCCATGGAAACATTAATTAGTACAGAATGTAGCATTCTCCCTGTTGTACAATCTACTTTCTATAAAATCACACATTCATTCAATTAATATTTACTGAGCAAATAGTCTGTGCAGGTGCTGTTCTTGGTGCAAATGATACAATTGGTAAGACACATACTTATCCAAGTATGTGATAAGGTTCAGCACCAGCCCTTCAGAATCTGAGATGCCCTGCAGAACATTTTCACACCTGTGGCAATTTAAGGCATTGCATTTGACCTAGAATACACTCTATCCCCTAGGACTCAGTTACCTAAGAGATCATTCCTCTCCCTAATGGTTTGGCAAAAAGTAAGATCAGCTGTAGTTCCCTGGTGATGGAACCTTACAATTTGAACCTTGGGGAAACAGAACCAAGGTGTTTTCCAAAAAGCGCTTTTTCTATTCTAAGAAGTTCTGAATTTTAAAACTAAATTTAAAAACAGCTTCTGTAAGCTATTCGAACAGGTTCAGCCCTCATTACCACTGGGTCATCATGCCTTTTGCTAGAAATATGGGATTTGTGCATGCTGTGTAATATTTTTGGTGTCTGTGGCTGTCAGGCAAAGACCAAGTAAGTCAGCACCCAGGGCAGCTGGATGTAAAATAAAAGAACAAAGTATCTGAAAGCAGGGTCAATTTGACTAAAAGAGCAGAGCACTTTAGCACAAAATGTTTGGGGCGCTTATTTCTGCAGTGGAATCTGTGCTCTTCTACTTCACAGTGCTATCCATTAAGGAAGATATATATATACAGTAGTTCAAACTGAGCCTGGTGTCTACAACAAGGAAGAGGGAAGGTGTGATGATTTGCCTCCAGATTTAGAGGATATAACTGGTGTTCCTAGTGGCTGTGTAACATGTGTTGCTTCACTTCCCTCTGGTCTTAAAACATGTGAGTCACAGTGTAATTTAAGAATTACGTTCTCTGTCTCTTACATTTGTGAAAGTTAAGTGAGACAAATCAACAAGTTTTCTATTTAAAAAAAGATGTCAATCCTATATGTATTTTCCAAGGTGCAAAGTATTTTATATTCTCTATATGTCTAATTTGTTAAAACGCTCAGTCACAAATTTAATTTATTAGCGTCATTTAATTTATTGGAGTCATTTCTGGAGTTGTGAGCCCACACTTCAAATACATCTGCATATCCTATAGCTTTAAGAGAAGGTTAATTCTCCTTTTGGGTTGGGGAGGAGGCGCCAGCTCTCAGCTTTGCCGCCCCCAGCCTGCACGCGCGCACAGAGTTTCCTGCTGTTGCAGGCCCCGCCCCTCCACCTCGTGGAGCTCAGAGAGGCCGCCAAGGGTGCAGCGCGCTTCCCACCTGCTAGAGGACTCGGTGAAGGGCCCCCGCCAGGCTCTCCTGTTCGCCCAGCTTCCCGATGTAGCAGTTTCCCTAGCTGCAGAGAAAGCGTGAGGGGTACGGGCTGGGAGGCGTGGCCCTGGGCGGTAAAGGGCGCCCGAACCTAGATTCTCGGGAGCCCTGCGGCTGCCCGCTCAGTCCCTCGAGGGCCCTAGCTCCAGACTCTCAGCAGACCCTTAAGTTCTCCGTGGCTCGCGCTACCTGGGGCTACGCGCTAGGCTCAGCACCTTGACCAGCCCAGCACGCCTTCTTTCCCGGCTCTTCAAGGCCGGACACACCCACTCCCACTACCAGCTTACGGGGCACTGGCGTCCTAGTTAAACTCAGTCCCACCACTCTTTCGCCGGTTCCAACTGCACACCCAGTCCTTCTCCAGGTACCCAACACCTTAGAATCTAATACAAAGAAGCCTGTACCTCCAGAGCCCTCGCGACTGCCACACCCGCCAGTGCCCACGATTCTTCGACCTCCACTAGGGTTGGACGCTGAGACCCTTGCTGCCCCTCCCCCAGTGTCAGTCAAAACCTCCCAACGTTCTCCGAAATCCCGTGAGCTGGGGACCTCGACAGTCTCCTCCAACCTCTCGGTGGCTCCTTCAGGCCCCCGGGACGCACTAAGCCTCTACTCCCGTCCCCTCAACCCCCCCACTCCAGCCACGCTTCTCCTCGTCCCGGCCCCTCCTCCGGGCCCTCCTCCTTCCTCGCCCCTCCCGAGTTGGGGTGGGAGCGGCGGCAGCTGGAAGAGAAGGGATGAGGTCATCCTCTCCCTTGGAGTCAGCTGGTGGAGGAGAGGAAGCGGGAGGAGGGAGCGCGAGCGAGGGGAGGAGAGGAATGTACAGGTCCGAGAAGCGCCGCGGCGGCCGCTGCTGCTCCTGCTGCTGGCGGCGGCGGCGGCTCGGGCGGCAGCGCATAAAGGGGCCGCCGCCGGGTGATGCGGTGACCGCTGCGGCAGGGTCTGCAGCTGGGCGCGAGGAGCCCCGTAGGAGACGTCTCTGAACAAACTTTTCTTTCTCTTCAAGTTGAGGCCGGCGCTGCTGGCGGCGGCGGCGGCGGCGGCGCTACGAGCGAGGCGGCCCGCGCGG